GCGCCGCCAGCGCGGGTGGGACGGGGCGGGGCGGGCGCGGCGGCGGCCGGAGAGCATCTCCGAGCGCGGGAGGAAGTCGTGGCTGTCTCAGCCACCTCCTCGCCACAGGGTTTATTTTCGAGCACAAGAGCCCCGGGCTCCTCTCTTCCTGTGCTGCTGCCAGGGAGCAGCAGGGGGTCCCGGCCGGAGCCACCGGCCCCTGGGGCTGCGCTTCTCCTAGGACACATCTCCAGCTCCAGCAAACGTCTCTGCCAGACAACGTGTTGGATCATCACCAAAAATGCTCAGTTTTTGGGGGAGGACAAGCCGGAAAGAGTCAATTTGCTTCCTTTCCCTTCTAGCATGGAACCAACCAACGGATTTGAAATATAATGGTACATTTTCCTGGTGAGGTTCTCCTAGTTTTGGGATGCAACAGGCTCCTTCTGACTTCCTCCTCAAAAACGCTCTGGGAAATGCTCAAGGCCAGGTTGGACTTGGAGTAACCTGGTTAAGCGGGAGGTATCCCTGCCCAGGAGGGTTGGCACTAGGTGACCCTTAAGGTTCTTTGCAACCCAAACCAGTCCGGCAAATCCCAGTGGAAAATCCCCCACCATCCTACTAAAAGACACACATTATTGCCCTCCCCCCCCAGTACTTACTTTCTACCTACTTTGTGCGCACAAAAAAACCCACAACCCCTTTCTCTTCCCTTTGAGCCCACAGCTCAGCAATGGGCTGGGAGGAAGAGCCTGCGCTTTTGTTACCTAATGACCTTGAAATCCTCTTCACCTGGAGCTGCCTTGAAGGGAAAGGCTCTGACAGACCCGCCCAACGGCTGCAGAGACGTGGGAAGGAACGGGAAACAAACGGAAAATCTGTGGAAATCACGATTAAAGCCTGAAATCGGAGGGAAAAGCCTATGGGCACCTTTTTTCCCAGGTGATGCAAAGTCTTGCCAGGGGCTGCCGCAGCCACCACGAGGTGCCAGAACAAACCTGCTGCCAGGCAGATGCTGGAAAAGCATCCCTGGTGTTTGAACAGGATTTAGCAGCAGAGGAAGGGGCAGCGCTCCCGCTCCTGCCCGGCCCCGGCGCTGCTGCCGTGGCTTTGCCAAGTCTCTTTTTATTCCTCTTTTTTTTTGACCCTGAAGTGACTCATCACGCCAGCAGCCAAAGTTGTGCTCACATTTCACCCGGGCTTCCATATGCATGTTTAAAAATACCCTGAACTCGTGCGGGATGGGGATTGTTTCCTCAAACCTGCAGCGTTTCCTCAGAACGGAACTTCTGGGCAACTTTATTCTCTCTTTGTAGGGCACCTTCTGCTCAGCAGCGCCTCTCACCCCTCGCTGCCTCTTCCAGCTCCTGCCTTCCCCCTCTCCAGGGTTGTCAACCCCGAATTCTTTATAAAGAAGAATGGTCCCAGTTGGATTTCCCTGCAGTGATGCTCCCAGCTCTGCAGAGATGTGGAGATTTGGAACTCCAAATTTGGGGCTCCAAACAGGAGTTTCTGAACCCCAAAACAGATTTGACTTCGGTATTTATTTAATTTTTTCCCCGTAAAATAAGAACATTCCCTGTCTGTAAAACAAGCAGAGGTTTGGCAGTTCTGAGCAACCAAACTGCTTTTGAGCACCAGGTTCTCCGTCCAGCCCTAGTGGCTGATTTTACAGAACCCCCCCTTTTTTTTCGTCCCTTTTTTTTGCCTCCCTGGGCTGGAGGGCAGAGCTGAGGGGCCTTGGGGTGCTCCCCGAGCCCTGGCTCCCCACACCCCTTCGGCCCGGCCCCCAACCCCCCCGAGATGCTGCCAGGGATTAATTAACCCTCCCAGCCCCGAACCCTCCCGAGATGCTGCCAGGGATTAATTAACGCTCAGTCGGGAGGACCTGCTGGATGGGTCGGTGTAACTGCAGACTCATTAAGCACCATTAAAACCTGGTTCTGGTGCCATCACCACCCCAGCCCGTCACCATTTCCCCTTCCTTCCCTCCACCTGTTACTGCAGGGGATGAGGTGACAAGGAGCCTCCCTCCCTCCCTCCCTCCCTCCACTAACCCACGTATCCCCACGACATTCCTGAGGCTCCACGTGCTACACCCGTCCGGTCGATGAGCATTAATTAACAGGCAGTGGATAACGTAGATGATAATGGAGGGGAACGTGGATCAGATGGTTGCCAGAGCAGTTCATATGTTCTTTTGCCTTTTTCGGTAGCTGCTCTGTCTAATAAACCAGTTTTGCTGGGTTGGGAGCAGCTTCTCCCTTCCCCTGCAGGTCCCGCCGGGCCCCGGGGGAGAGAAAAGGGCGAAGGGGGATGAACCGAAAGGGGAAGCGGAGCAATCCCGAGAGCAGGGGGGCAGCAGGGGGCTCTGGGGAGCACCGAGCTCTGGGGAACGGGAGGGAAACCGGGAATACGAATTTCTTGCACCTTCTGCCACCTTGTGTGCAGGGAAAGAATAAGCCATGAGAAGCCGAGCCGCCGGGATTGCTGCTCCTCGCGTTTATTCCACCTTCGTTAAGTAATACAGACATTTATTTTTCAAGTTCATGACTACTTAAAATATATATTTTATTAAGCTGACCACTTTAAAAATCATTTATTTGCAGGCTTGATGTCTTAGTTTAAGACATTTTCCAACCCCCCCCCAATGGATCACCAGGGCAGGGGGAAGGAGAAGGAAGCAGTTCAGCATTTAGTGCTGAAATAATTGAAAAGGCTTGACTACAAAAACTGGTCCGAGATCCTTACAGCAAAGGGAACCTGCTCCATAACATGGCACAAGTGCCTGCAGCAGCCAGGCAGCACCTGCCAACCTGTCCCCTTCCTGTAAATGAGGCTGTGATGCTCACAAGCTGCTCTGGAAGAATTCAGCCCTCTTGGGAAAGTGAAGCGAAGCACAAGGATCAGACAAAGCTCTGCCCACTCCCCACTTTGCTGTGGGGGTGGGCACAGGAATGTGAGGGTACCTGTGGGGAAACGTGCTCCCTCTGCACCCACTCTCACCCCTCTGTGTGAGCAACATCCCATCACAGCTCACACAACCCCCTGAGGAGCAGGTTGGTTTGGAGCTGGCTGGTGAAGCCCAGAGCCCCTGGCAGCAGCCACAGTCCCCATGTCCCTGTCAGAAAGGCACTCATGTCACAACAGTCCCTCATCAATGCACTTTGGTTGGTTGTCCCTCCTGCCAGCCAGAGTCCTGCACACACCAGCTCAGGAGCAGCAGGTTTCCAGCTTGCAGCTGACACAGACTGAGGGCCCCTGAGCTGGGGGTAAAGCCCAGCTCATTGACCACAGGAAGGTTTCCACACTAACCCCACACACTGTCCCTCCCATCCTGGGGGCACACAGAGGGAAAAAGAGCTCAGCAACCCATACTACCCTCAAATAATTTGAAAGAGGGCTCCCCTGCTCAAGGATTTCAAATGTGCTCTCCTTTGTCAACAAATACAGAGCTTAGTTTTTGCCACCATCCCTTCCCTGTGCTCCAGGCCAGGGGGTGAAACCAGCCCTCAGAAACCCCTTCCAGCTCCTGATAACTGCAGCAGGGGAAGCCCTGGGAATGGCAGCAACAGGCAGCTCAGTACACATGATGAGAAGCTGCCAAGGGTGTCTCTGAACACTAGAATCTGTATCATCAGTATTTAGATTAAATGGGGGCAGCATGTTTAGCACAGACACATTGTGCTGCACTTGCACCTTGGACATCTTGCTTGCACAGAGGAGCCAGAAGGGAAAGGGACCAGCCCTGGCTGAAGGTCTAGTCAGGGCAGAGTGAGGACCCCCCAGAGATATGGAAGAATGAAAAAGAAAACAAATCCTAAAATCTCTTCTTGGTGCTAAAATCCCAATGTTTCTAGTAATAACAGGATTTACTTTTGTTCCTTGCACTGTGGCCTTTCCATGTCCAGATCTGATTTACCCTCCAGCCAGCAGGAGCTGCAGGGCACCTTCATGTTCATCATCTCCACATCCAGAAGAATCTGGTGGAAAAGACCTGGGCAGCCTCATCCAGCAGCCAGTGTAATGAGGCCCCAACACCAGCTCCTTCTCCAGCAAAGATGGAAAAGCAGGCACAGTGGGAAACTGGTCAGCAAACCCTGCAGCTGCTGAGCCTTTGCCCTTGATGCCAGCAGGGTGTAACAGGCAGGAACACCAGCTTTACACCACTGGACACCCAGGAAATGTCAGAAATACATCCCTCACCTAACACTGTCATTGCTCTTCCCCAACATTGCTACTTTCTCCTCTCCTTCTACACTAAACTTTCTCAGGAACACCCTAAACTATACCAGGTTCTCTTCCCAGGCCACCTCTCCAGCAGCACAGCCTGTGTCAGGGACTGCTACAGGGGCACGTAGTGTGTTTAAGAAGACAGACACTAAAATATGCCACCTTCCCTCAGGGTGAGCAGTGGCACTTCCATCAGACAGACATGAATTTTCTCTGGAAGGGGTGAAGTCCAGCCTGGGCTGAGACAAGATCCCAAAAAACTCCATTCTGCTCTGCTATAAAACACCCAACCCAGAGCTGCCAGCTGAAAAAAAAAGACTGAACAACAGGGAAAACTGCTGAGATTTCCAATCCTGAAGGCACTTGACTGAGAAGCACTTCTTGTAGTGTGCTGAGCACCTCCCCAGCAGAGCTGATGGGCTGGAAGGAGCAGGCTGGGGACACGGGCAGCCAGAGCTGCCCAGGCTCCAAGGCAGGATGTGGTCCCATAAAGCTTCCATCACCTTTGGCTTCCACCTTCTGCCTCTCCCCAGCAGGCATCGGGAGCTACCTGGAGAGGGTGCAGGTGTCTGAGGTATGTGCGACGTGGTGGCCCCGGGGGGCGGTGCTGGTGGCCCCGGGGCTGCCCCCAGGGGCCGGGGCTAGGCCTGCAGCCCCAGCAGCCGCGCCGTGTTCAGCACGTCGTCCCTGGTGAGGTAGCAGCCGCAGAGCTGCCGGTAGCCCGTGAAGGCCTCCCGACCGTGCAGCACCCGCCAGTTGTCCACAAACAGGGCCTGTGGGAGGAGGGGAAGGGCTCTCAGGAGCAGGGAGAGCACCAAGCAGGGCCAGGACCCTCTGATGGGACTGGTCCTGGAGGTGCTTAGAGACTGGCAGAGCAAGGGGGTCACAGCCCTCCCAGCCCCACGCTGCTGAACAGGGCGAGGCAGCAGGGGAGGCTGCAGCCAGATGTTGAGGAGACCCAGCCCAGCTGTTCGACTGGCAACTCTGCTGCCAACCACGAGTTCAAACCTGACAGCAAGTGAGGCACAGAAATACACTCTGGGCTGTGTCTCTGCCTTTCTGTTGGAGAGGTAAAAATATAAACATTTTCTTCCAGAAGTCAGAGGCTGAACATGAAGTGTTCCCAGCTCCTCTGCTCCTGAGGGCCCTCACGTCAGGGACCAGAAAGATTTTCCTCCTCTCCCCCAGTCAGGACTAATTTTCTTCTCGAGGCAGAGCTTGAATTAAAGAAACATTTCTGCCTTATCTGGGAGCTTGCATTCCCCTATGGCAGCAGGAACCCCCCCCTCCCCCACAGGCACCAGGGCTGCCACACGGGGCACCTCAAAAGCAGCTATCGAAAGGAAAACCACAGCACAGAGCTCACCTGAAGCCTTGACCTTAGTGGCAGCCCCCCTGCACACCCCGAGGAGCCCCC